AACGCCGAGGCCTCCGGGACCAATATTATTCATTTTTTGGGTTCGATCGCGTAAGTATAAAATGCGTCGTAACCCTCCAACGCCCGACACAGCCAGTAAGGTTTGTCACGTTAATAAAACGCGCCAATTAGTTTACTGCTTCAGCCCACCGGGGTGTTGGCGAGTAATTCCGCAACATTTACAACTTGAGTACGACGTTTCGCTGCTAATTACATCCAGCATCATCATAGCGGAGTTTGTGAACCGTGTGCGCTTTCAGATGCACTTCTGCTGGCCGTCTGGAATGCTCCTTCTTCCGATATTAGGACGCCCCCAGAGCTATGCACTTTTAAATAAACTAGATTGAAAACTCTTATTTAGAACTGCTTGTTGTCTTTAGTTTGTTGTCCTTCCCCCGCCCCCGCCCCGCCCCACGTACGGTGCGAAACAAGTTCAACATAAATACACACATACGGGCCCCCACCACCCATCCATAGCCAATCCCCTCACCCTCATCCTCCAACTCCCACCGCTAGAAAGCTTTTAAGTCCCACACCCGTTCCCGATTATTCCCGAGGCAAGCGCCGCGCCACCAGCCACCGCTCTAATGTCTCCCAGAAGCAGACGAGGCTCGCTCAGCTCCTCGGCCATAAACTAAGTTGAGCACAGTGCTCGGGCGGCGAGTCATCTTTATGGCACGCACGGCAGCCATGCCCTCCGTGTGCGTGCCAGCGTGCGGGTCTGTGTGTGCCCTGGGGTGTGCGTGTAGCGGCAAGCACGCCGAGCTACGAACCCAGTGGAGCCGAGTTCAATTCCCGTTCACGGCCAACACCAGTGATGATGAACCGAACCAACTCTGGGGCCTTCCTTAGGTCAAGTCAGCCTCAAATGAATAGTTGGTGCAATGTGTAAATATTGGCACCAGGGAGACAAAGGCGGCCGAGCGTGGTGCTAGCCGCCCACCCCCTCGTGTGCCGAGGGGGTGGGTGGCTTCATTAGGTGCTCGCTAGCAAAAACTTGCCCCAACAGTCTGTTGAGGCTATACGGGAGATCTTTGGTGGCTAGCACGCTACCTAAGCTACGCCACTTCAATTAAATTCCCGGCCACGGTTAACATCGGTGGCGATCATCCGAACTGGGCCTGGGCCTCCTCCAGGTTTACTTAGCCCGAAGCGAGAACCCGTAGCACACAAACTCAACAGCAATGGGGAGGACAAAAGGCGGCTGCCCCCCCCCCCCCACAACCCGGGTGCGGTTCGGACCAAGTGAACAATTTCTCTGTGCGCCACGCCGCCCTTTCCCGGCTGCTCGCTAGCAGCACTTGCCCCGACAGTCCATGTCGGCGATTTTGTCATTGCGCGTGTAGCGTTTGCACGGCAACACCCCCCCACACCTATCACCGCCCCCCCCCCACGAACCTATCTCTGCCCCCCCCCACGAACCTATCTCCGCCCCCCCCACACCTATCTCCGCCCCCCCACCACACCCATCTCCGCCCCCCACACACCTATCTCCGCCCCCCACCACACCTATCTCCGCCCCCCCACCACACCCATCTCCGCCCCCCACACACCTATCTCCGCCCCCCCCCACACCTATCTCCGCCCCACACCTATCTCCGCCCCCCCCCACACCTATCTCCGCCCCCCCCACACCTCTCTCCGCCCCCCCCACACCTATCTCCGCCCCCCCCACACACCTATCTCTGTCCCCCCCCACACCTATCTCCACCCCCCCCAAATCTATCTCCACCCCCCCCACACCTATCTCTGCCCCCCCCCACACGTATCTCCGCCCCCCCACACCTATCTCCACCCCCCCCCAACACCTATCTCTGCCCCCCCCCCCACACGTATCTCCGCCCCCCCCACACCAATCTCCGCCCCCGGCCCCCGCCATCCGCACCTGTTTGGACTTGAAAGGCCAAAGTCAGCTCGGAGTGCTGACAGCAGCAGCCACGGTGTGACTCGGTGCCGCGGGGGCTGGAGGGAACGTATCGGAGTGGTTCCACAACACTCGCCTGGGCACGATTAAGGCGGGGGTGGAGGGGGGGGCGGGGGCTTTTAAAAGTGCCGCTGTAACTCCGCAATGAATGCTCTCGCGCTTATCAATAATGATAACGTACAGTAAAACCTCGTTATTTCGGGATTTGATCATTCGTGATTGGGGATCACTTGGCACGGCAGCGCTTTCGGCACATGTATACGGTGCGTTGGTAATTCGCCACGAGCCGAACTGCCGTACCGAAAGGTCCAATTTCGGCAGGCACGTGGAGTGACGTCACGCGCCACGACCAAAACACCGACTCGGTCTGGTGGTGGCGCGCGTGGTGAGCGTCAGTCCAGACCTGTCCCTTTGGACTTTACCTTGCTTATGCACTCTGTGCAAGCCAACCCTCTCAGAAGTGTCGTCTACACCTACATCAAGAATAGAAAGGGGCTGAAGTATAAATCCCTTAGTCTGCGAGACAAATCCAAGGTTCTGGACAGAGTTAATGCAGGGCGTGTGTCAATGCGTACGGTGTGCGAAGCGTTTGGAAAATACATTTGGCAAAAAAAGCTATTGGGGCAGGAGGCACTGGGGAGTACCATTGTACATAATTCGGAATATTGTATAATTCGGCAAGGCCAGAGCCCCATATGTGTCGAATTAACAAGGGTTTACTGTAGTTGTAAGGTGCCTTGAACTAATGTCTCAAGGCGCCTTTGTAAGAATAAGGAAAGGGCCAAGAGAGACGGAGAAGCTAAATAGAATAAACTAAACACAGTAAACTGACTTAAGAAGATGTGGCTTTGAGAAGGAGACTTAAAAGTATCCACATTATCAGATGAACGGAATTTCCAACGGTAGGGAATTCCACGATCGTGGCGCAGACACAGCAAATGCCCGTTTCAATTCAGTTGCTTCGATGAGCAGTAATTATCTGTGGACTAAAATATTATACGGATGTACCAGAGTATTAAATGTTGTTACAAGATATTACTATTGTCTATTTAATTTACTTATTTCTACACTTGCTAACCTTTGTCGGCACAATAATTGCTATTATTACAGATTTTACTTGGCTTAATAAAGGAATTGCTTCGATGACAATAACTTCTCCTCCTTGATATTATCCATGGCCACGGACAGGTTCTGACAGCACTGTCCCTAACCGTTGCGCCACCACTCCACCGTCAAACACAATATAAATGCGCATTTACTCCTGCTGAAATGAAACTGTGCACGTGAATATTTGCCACAGCCTACGCTCCCCCCCCCCCCACTGCTCTCACTGCTCCGATTACCACCGCACTATACTTTTGTTTTAATTGTTCACCTACGCAGAGCGAGGGGCAAAGACGTTTTTATTCCCTCTCGAAGCAATCGCGGAAAGACCCCGCGATGAGTGAGGAGCAGCTGATGACACTGTGTAACAATTTTTTTTTGTTCCTGTGTTATTTCCGAATTGCTTATGCCTCAAAAGTACAGAAAATGGCTATCACTCCCCACAAACTTTGCTCAGCAATGAACCTATCTGGAATGTTCTGGAAAATTGGTAAACTTCAAAGTATCACTGTCCTGGTCACAAAAGCCAAGTTTGTGGGGAATAATAGCCACTTTCTCTACTTTCTAGGCATAAGCAATTACGAAATAACACTCACTACCCAGGAACAAAAATTGTGTTACATAGTATGATTAAAGCAGCGCGCGTGAAGATATTTAATTTATTTTATCGCACCTGCAGCAGCGCAGTTAACGATATATGAACCTTATGGTGGGACCCCAGGGTCCCTCAAGCCCCCGGGGCTCTTGCATCAACTGCGTTGCGACGTCATGTTATGTCTCTTGAAGGCGAACGATACGGCAGTCTATTTCTCTCGACGAGCTCTACACAATGCGCTAATCAAAATTTCGCTTGTTTAGCGCATTCGTCCTCGCTGTGCTTGGACGAAACGACAACAGAGTGATCCACGCCAGGTGGGTCGCATCGTTTATCTGCGCGGTGGGACTTCCGTTTATTCGGGACCCCGGGGTCTCGCCATAAGGTTCATATATAAATAGAGATCGTATTTATTTCAGCAGGAAGGGCCCAATTAGCTGCTGGGTTATATACCACAGGCATTCTGCGATGGAGCAGACGTTATGCAGAGCACATTCTCTAGCGACATGAGCGTGCCTACATCGGTCGTGATGCAAACGGCGAGTATCGGCACGCGTGTTACACGTCACCGACTTATGTTGAGCTTCTTTCGCAACGTACACTGCCGACCTTGCTCATCGGAGGTGCATTACATTCTTTACGAACAAAAATGAAGGAGATGAAAACATAAGATAATTGAACAAAGACAGACACGATGAGTAGCCGGGAAAGCCTAAGTACGATCCGCACACACACACACTCGGGCTCAACACTTCCCTGCCGATTACTTGTCGCAGCCACGTCTGTGAAAGGAGCTTGAGCTGCAACAGTTGAACGGAGGCCTCTCCGGCAACGATCATCGACAATCCGAATTCAACGCGACAGCGATCGCTCAGCAAACCCGGACGATCCACGCACGGGTGTTGGAGGAGGAGGCTGCTGCACATTTCCACGCGATAAAAAGCCACTTCGTTGAGCTACCATTTGTGGTGGCCAGGTCGCCGTCTGAGAAAGAGCTTCGGCGATAGCTCAGTGGGGCCTTATCCGGTAAATTAAAAACAATCGTTCAGTTTAGCTCTCGTTGCGCGTACTAAGCGCGGAGGTTTTGTTAGAATCTCCAGAGAGGTGGTGGTGACGGCCGCGTGGGTCAGGGGTCAGGGGTCAGAGCACTAAGACAGCACGGCGGGTGTCCTGGGTTTGAATCCAGGTGTCACCTGCCCGCAGTTGAACAGGGCTCTCCCGAGTGGAGCGGGTTGATGGTTTCAGCTGGGTCATCAAAAAAAGTTCTGACTTTGTCGATTTTTTCCAGAAGGGTTACGTAGCTCCGTGGGCCTTACTTAGTAAAATAAAAAAATATCGTTTGCAGTTCAGTTGTCGGCTGCGCTGGGTGCGGGCGTACCAGGCTGGCCTGCGTACGAGACGGCGCTGGAGGCGGTGGTGCCAGCGCGTGCCGACTGCACGGCTCCCGAGGAGGAGGCGGCGGTGGCGGCGTCCTCCCGCGTGACGCTGCGGTGCAGCAGCTCCGTGAGTGACGCGATCTGCCTCTCCATCGACTCCATGCGCTCCCTGCCGTGGAAAAAAGACAAAGATCCCCCCTATAGCCTTAACAGACAGTTGGGGCAAGTACCGTTCTATCACTATTTTTATTTATATAGCTCTTTTTCAACGAAGTAGCTTGTCACGTCGGAATTCATAGCAGCCAAATACTGTAAACCCAAAAAAAAATCGACGCAACCACGGGGAGAAAGACACCGCAAACTCCAAATATACAGCAGGCGTCAGGGTCGCGATCGAGGCGAGGTAGTCAACATCTCCTAGCCACCGTGGCGTCCCCTCTTCCCCACCACGAACCGAACCTCCACGGGGGAATGTGGGGGGTGATGGGCTGGGGCGGGGGCAGGGCTCTCCCCCAGTGCCCCCGGCCACGCCGCTCACCGCGTCTCCCGGTCATCGACGTGGCCGATGGGCCTGAACGGCGTGACGGTGCCGGTGTCGGAGGAGCCCACCGACACCTTCCGTCTCTGCTGCTCGGGGGGCAGCGTCGCGGTGGCGGTGGCCCCCCACGCCGGCGCCCAGCGCCGCCCGGCGACGGAGTCGGGCTCGTCCAGCGCGATGGGCACGACGGTGCGCGGGGCGAGCGACGCCTGCAGGGCGTGCAGCGACGCGGGCGGCGTGCGGGACCGCGCGTGCTGCTGCTGCTGCTGCTGCTGCTGGTGCTGCTGCTGGTGGTGGCCACAGCTGTCGTGGCCGCGCCACTGGGACGACCCGGCGTACGTGCGCGGCAACGCCGAGTCGTCCCAGGGGCCCGAGCGGCCGCCTCGGTCGCCGGCGGAGTACGAGGACGCGACGGCGTGGCCCGATGCCGCCAGGCTGTAGCGGCCGCCTCCACCGCCTCCACCTCCGACGGTGCCGACGAGTGCCTGCGGTGGGAAAATGGGTCGAGGCACAGCGCCGCAATGACTCGCACCCCCACGTCCCTTGTCGTTATTCCCACCCCCCGCACCTCCGTTTAGCACAGTTGGCCACGTCCGGTGCGAAAGAAGATACGCACTGCCGGCGGAAGGGCTTCCCCGCTGGAGGGAGCTTGGAAGCCACCTTGACAGAATACTTTGGCCTACTTTTTTGACACTGGCTCGACATCTGGGAAGAGGTGGGAGGACCCACGCTTTGCCCCACCGCAAGAACGATCGGCTGCGGGGTGCTCGTTTACACCGCCGGGGAGGAGCAAGTGGGGAGGAGCAAGTGGGGAGGTTTGAGAAACTCGCCATGACACTTCCACCGCCACTGCCACGCCGGGATATGAAAAAAATCTCCACCGTTGCGTACCGTTACACCGCCATTTTTGGTCTTCGTCGGCGCACCACAGCCTCGAATAACATCTCAGGCTGTATCGTAATTCAGACTCGGTGGTGCCGAGGTGGCGAGATGTTAACCACCTCGCCTGGTATACAGGAGGTCGTGGGTTCGATCCTGAACCTTGACGCCTGCTGTGTAGTTGAAGTGTACGTGTCTCTCTCCCCGTGGTCGCGTGGAATATTCTACGGGTCCTCTGGTTTTTAGGGCGCCTCATACATATCCAAGTGAAAAAAATGTTGCGTATAGAGGAAAACGACCTGATGAGGCAAGCAGTGATGAGAAGGAAACTGGCACCATTTGGACCCATGTGTAGCATGGACAACAACAGGAAAATTACAAGCGTGTTTCTTCAGAAGAATGGAAAGAGAGGAAGACCTCACAGAGAATGGCTTGACGATGACGTGGCCACTAGCTGAGCCATATTGTCACTAAGACAGAGGAGGAGAGTGGGAACAACAAATGAATCATTTGGCAGGACCCCGGGGTCCCGCATAAATCAGGTCAATAATTATTATTTTTCAGTCCGCCCACTCGTGATCCCGACAGCAACGCGCCGCCCACCCAGACTCTTGCCAACAAGCGCCAGCAGCAGGCGGCGATCAACACGACGGGCGCCACCCCACCGACCAAACGCAAGCCCCGGGGGGCGTCCGCCGCAGTCGCCCTCCGGTCAGCCGTCGATCCTCAGCTTCTTTGCCAAGGCAAGCCCGCCGCCGCCCCCCAGGCAGTGAATTTAACGTGTTTATGTAATTTTTCAATTTTTTTTACGAAACTTAGTGCCCCGAGTAGCTCTCGACGAGGCCAATCGATTGACCACTAGTTTTGTTGTCGGTAAGGCAAGACTCGTGTCGCTACGCGGTTTCTCCCACCCCGGGGCAGCGATGAGACCCCGGGGTCCCGCCAATTGCTTCAAATAACGAAACGCGCAGTGGACACTGACGGGGTTACCTGCCCATGTCGCCGTCGCCGTCGCCGTCGTCGTCACGATCCAACACGAACCCAAACCCGGAGCAAACGTCGACCGCGAGCAAAATCGGCCTGCGCAAACCGCTGCCTGCCCGAGGGTCGCAGCCGTGGAAGCCTGCGGTGGGGGCGGTTGCTGACCTGCGGGTAGTGCAGGACGCCGGCGTCGCTGCGCACCAGGAGCACGTCGCGGTTGCGCAAGTCCTCGTCGGGGCGGACGTCGCGCCGCTCCAGGATGGAGCCGAGCGCCGCCACGGACGAGGTGGAGGCGGACGGCGACGGCGGCCCAAAGAAGGCGGCCGCCGGGGAGAAGGCGCTCGGGCCCTGGATGCCCGAGATGAATCCGGCGACGGCGGAGGACTGCTGCAGCTGCTGCTGCAGCTGCTGCTGCCGCTGCTGCAGCGAGTAGTGGCGCTGAGCGGGGGACTGCGGCACGGTTGGCGTAGCGGAGCCGGAGAGAGAGCCGTGTCGGTAGCCGACGCTGTGCGAGCGACGCGCCGACTCCTCCTGGGCAAGGAACGACGACAGGACGGTTCAAGAATGGAATGAAAGTCAGAAGCGTTCCAAAAGCTACAGGGCAGCGCCGGCTGCTATTAAAACTATTTTTTACGATTTAAAGTACTTTTGATTTTATTTTACCAGGAAAGGCCCACGGAGCTATCTGGCTATCACAAATCATAGCAGCTCAAATAAGTGGCTTATCATCATGTGCAAATGTACAGCAGCAAAATACTCCAAACGCATGTTTCTAAACGTGGAGGGAAAAACCGGAGGACCTGGAGAAAAATCCACGTGACCACGGGCAGAACATGCAAACTCCAGATATACAGAGTAGGCATCAGGGTCGGGATTTAACCCATGAACTGCTGTATACCGGGTGAGGGAGATAACATCTCACCACTGTGGCATCCCTGTTAATGCTGTGGCCAACGCGGCTAGTGCAGAGAAGCGAGAATTCCGGCTGGTCACGTGACTACGGTACTTAGTCGACTACTCTTCTCAGCACAGTGGCAGTTAGTTGCATAGGAAATAGTTTCAAGTACAAATTTGTTTTGTGTAACCAGGCGAGAGCTTCAGATAGCAGGATGAGTCTCGTTCGCAAGAGTGACCCGGGTCATAAAAATGACAAAAAGCCAGACGGCAATGATGTCAATAGAAATAAGAACAAAAACAACTGCACGACGCAAGGAATCGGCCAAAATTGCAAATATAAATCGGTGTTAAATGAAGGTGAAATATAGTAAGTCCGCTGCAGTGCAAACCGGATCGGGCAGATTATCTCCTGGCTGATGACTGCGCAAATTACGACTGACCGTCATAACCTGTATAGGGTGGCCAAAGTACGAATCGGTAAACAAACAAGGATCTAGATATATCTAAATGTGATGAACATCAAACAACACGTGAACGATGATAATAATAATACTGCTCTTCATTTACAAACTTCATTGGGAACGCACCCCATCTCTGCAGCTCCCAAAAGCTAAGCAGGTGGGGGGGGGCGTTCAGCCTGGTAAACAATTCGACGTGCTAGCGGCACACGTAACACGGCCGCAGTAGGCGCCGTGGCCAGAAGGGGGGCGTTGCAGCAATAGCCCAGGGCACCTTCAGCCTGCCCCGAGTACATTTGCACCTGACCCCGGGGGGCTTGTCATTCGCGTTCCGTACGGTTTCTCCTATCGACGCGGTAGTAGCTGCGTATTCCTGAAGAACAACCGCGTTACGGGAAAAATCACGTAGCAATAAGTGCGGTACAGGGTAAAAGCACGCTCCGCGCGCGAACACGTCAGATGTGTACGCGGGCTCAGTAAAGACTGAGGGCGTCGTGGTTAGCTTCTAGAAGCATCCAGCAGCAGCATCCCGCCTTGTGCGATGAAGCTACATGCGACCGCCCGTTCCTTCTCAGTGGTGCTAGATCCATCCACATTATAAACAGACGTATTCCCCGATACATTCATCGCGTTTTATCCAATTGGCGTGATGAAAACAACTCACGTTATCGGAGAACAGACCTGTATTGGGCTCTTAAATGAATAAATGTAATAAAAACATCGCTCGTGCACATGTCCGCTGCGATGGTTTCTCAACGCTTACCCACATGTCTCCTCCGTTCAGCGCCTGGGGCTGTCTGTTGACGGGGGCCCTGAAACCGACCTTCAGGGTGGCCTTGTTTGTTATCTCCCTGGAACATTGAGATGATAATCGAACAGGACGATCAGCGCGACTGGATTAAACGCGCCAAGTAAAAAAAAAAAATGCGTGTAGAACATGTGACCGGGTGTTCACTGTATAAATGCATACCGTGTAGATTTGACATGTGTGTGCGTGTGTGCGTGCGTGCGTTACGTGTTTGTCATGCAAGGCATCAATCCTGGACAACCGGGTGAATTTTTTCTCTTATAATCAGAATCAGAATATTTATTTGTACTGACGGAATCCAATGAGCTGTAAATCTCTTTTTCACAGATGTCCAGTAGAGGCGGGTAAGAACGTCACAACGACAAACAATGCAAAAATATGATAGTAGTGCAAAGTACAAGAAAGGTAAATAAATCAACAAACACATACGAATAAAACTAAACCATCCCCTACCCTACCAGACAAAGCCCCACTGAGGTACAGTAAAACCTTGGATTGCGAGCATAATTCGTTCCGGAAACGTGTTTGTAATCCAAAGCACTCGTATATCAAAGCACTCGTATATCAGTTGTGATCATGTGACGCTCGGCAGTACAAAGCGTATACGTGCTACTCGTATTGCAAGACCCTCGCTCGTTTATCAAATTAATATTTATTAAAAAAATTTGCTCGTCTTGCAAAACACTTGCAGACCAAGTTACTCGCAATCCAAGGTTTTACTGTATTCACTTACTTTTCAGAAGCGACCTGGCCACAAATCATAGCTCAACAAAGTGTCTTATAATGAATTTGGACATTTATAGCAGCAAAATAATCTAAAAACCCTAAACGCACGTTTCTAATCGTGGAGGGGAAACCCCGAGAACCCGGAAAAGCCAATCCAATAGAGACATTACCCGCTCTGGACATGCGGATCACAAACACGGACACCGACGAAGCAAATGGACACTGGCAAAGAACAAAATCCAAGGCAAGCACAGAGCAGCAAAGGAAAAATGGTGCACGCTTGCGGTTACGAGAGACGCCAAGAGGGCCACGATTAGAGGAAGCGGATCTCACAGAACTACATCCGAGATGCTATGGAGTGATCCACTCGCTCATGGGCGCGCCACATTTTTCCACCCACCCGGCCGCATGGTAGCATTTGTCACTGGGCAGTCAAACCGATGTTTTTAATTCTCAAGAGACGGTGTATAACCCAATAAAGTAAAAAAAAATCGCAATTTAACATGCTCTCTGTTGTGCAGTCATGGGTGGTTGTGCTGAAAAGCAGCCAGAGACCACCAACTGACTTGACTTGAGAATCCAAGTTCATTCAATTCCTGTATATCAGCCAGTTTGAGTTTCGTCCATTTCCAACATTAACTTTTCAAATCCGTTCTGCTGTTTATGTTCACTATGGTGAGACAGTGCTATGTAAAAAAAAATGTTCTTAAACAAATATAATACCCACGTTGCAGCATGAAAGTCAACAGACTGGCTGGACTTGACAACCAGGTTCAATCGTAGGCGGCTGACACCCAGATCCTAACCCAGAGTGTCACCCATACCGGGCTTGCCGGAATTGTATGTTGAACTTCTATCGCACTGTACATAACCAACCGTGCTAAATCGGAGGACGCGTGGGAAGGACAACAAACTAAACACAAAAAGCAGTTCCAAAACAAATGAGTTTTCATTCGAGATTGTAGACCGAGACAGGCACATCAACTTTGCGGCTCCATGAACCATTTACAAAAAGTAAGAAACCTCCCCAACTCGGAAGGATCAACGGGATGACGGTTTTGGAGGGAAACCGCCGTCCCTACCGCAGGTCGGAGAGGAGACGGAAAGTGGCGGTGGACCCAGCGTCGCGCAGGAGGAACGCGGCGTCCGGGGCCTCCAGCGCGGCCATGCTGAGCACATCCGGGAAGGCCTTGACGAAGAGGGCGCGCACCGTGTCCAGCGTGGTCACCGCGTTGGGCATCACGGTCTGCCGGGTCTCCCCGCCGTAGTGCAGGTACAGCACGCCTGCACGAACCCGAAATAAACATACACACACATACACACACACACACAGGTTCGTTTCCGCTCGCACGGCCGGCCGGGCTATCTTGGCGCGCGCGGCCCAGATCATTGTTTTATTATTATTGTTTTGTTATTTGATTACTGTACTTTTTATTACATATTTTTCCCACTGTAGTACCCTAGCAGCACCGCTGACATCACACGCAATGAACGAGCCTAGTGGATTTTTATATAGAAAGATGAATGAGGAACCCCGCCACTCTGGCCCTGCTTGGCCCCCCAACCGAACCAGATTCATGTATCTCTCATTTAAAAAAAGTATATTTTCAATTGAATAAAATATATCGCTGGGAAATTCCTTCCAGATGGAACACCCAAAATCGGTAAGTTGAGACACGGGTAAACGACGCAGCCTAGGAACTGCTTGTGCCCCGAGCCAGATGCAGATCTCTCGTGAGAACATCGCAGTCACGGCTCAGTTCTGGCTCAGTACAAAAAAGACAGCCCCAGTGGAAAACCACCCCGTGCCACGAGGGCCCCGCGCTGGCCCGGCTCGGACGTGCCAGTGAAAGCGGGGTAAACGATGTCCTGCGTGGCCTGCATGGACCGTTGAGGCAAGTGCTGTTATAAGCGAGCGCCTATGAAGGTCGGCACGGGGCAGGCACAAAAAGGGTGGTGTGGACAGCAACAATCTTGGCCAGTTTTGTCTCCCCTTAGTGGTGATGATGATTTACACACTGCACCAGGAGCTCATTTAAGACCGAGTCAGTCTTTAGGGGGGTGCTCAGGAGGCCCATTTTATTGACCTGGGAAGGAAAGGTGGAAAATGGGCTCAGCCTACCCGCGGAGCACACCGAGCCAATATGACGTCAGGTACTCATAATTCAGGCCGAGTTGACCTAGGGGGAGAGCCAAGCAGGACCTGAGCCTGAACCACCACGCAGTACGGAGAGCACAGAAAAGCACAGACACAGCAGCCATCGCTCCTGTGCCCCCCCCCCCCCTCCCCCGTGTCTATGTTCCCCACCACCGCTCCCAACCTGCAAACTACCCAACCAAATAGGTTGATCACGTCAGCATGAACACGCGACCAGGATCAATGGTGACCGGCTGCAAAGGACGGCGGTGGCGGCGACCGTGGCAGGAGCTAGCGGAGGTAGGAAGACGGCGAGGCGACGGGACTTCGAACGTCGTCGAACGCCCGACGGGATGGAAAGCCGCCTCACTTGAAAGAGCGCGGCGACGGACAAGAGAGAAGTGGAGAGACGCTGCAAGGAGATGTCAGTGAAGGCAAGCGGTCCGTGTGGCCCCACAACGGCTCAAAAGGCCAAGGGGACTGGGAGAGGAACACGGCAGAGGCCGCACAAGAATGTCCTCCGCCGGAGGGCGGCGGCGGCGGCCGACGTGCCACTCGTCCAGGCTTCCCAGGAGAGGCGGGCCGGCAAACGTCGAGCCCTGGCATGGAGCGTCGGCGACGTCGCCCTCTCGGTGAGGTCTCGCCCGCCGAACCCGGCGGACGTGCCCAACGCGGGCGGGCGGGCGGGCGACTTGATGTGATTGGGCTCACACAGTGACGACGTCAACTTCCCTCCCCATCTATTTAAGACCGGAAGCAGAAAGACTTCTTCACAATTCCGGTTAATTGCCTGATGAAGCGGCTTGTTGTAGTCATCGGCGAAACGTTACAGTACTTGAGAATTGTAAATTCTGTGGGTTTACTCTCTCATCACACTCGCTGTGCTGAACTAATTTTCACGTTTGTTTACATGACACACCCATACCTATCAAGCCATACGGTTTACCCCTTATTCTTGTACAGGGAAATTGAGTGTTCAGGTCCATACGGCGTGCAGCCGTTTCAATACGGGCAACAACAAACATAGTTTGTGTTTCTCCCTTGTGGTGGGACTTGGCTTGTAATAAGGTAGGGCACTGATAAGGGGTTGACAGGCATGCAAACCATACGAGTGTCGGGTGGTAGCGCATTTAACAACACATTTATATTTATAGAATCCAACCCCCCCGAAAAACTCTTTTATTATCGACGCCAAGTGTGTCAGCCCACCGAGCCGGAGACGGGAGATGCCACGGAAAAATAAAATAAGTCGCTGCTTCGCTCAACCCGGCATTATAAATGCCGGTTTCGTTAATGGTGAAAAACAGGTCTAGATTTGAAGCTTTCGTGACTGCAAGGATTCATACTCTTGGTGCAGCGATTTTGCTGTGACTGGTCCCACCTGAAGACGGAAGCTTGCTTTGCCTCCGAAACGTCGTGTTTTAATTGTTTCTTTCATTTTATTTCAATTTATTTTAATTTGTTTTACCTACGTGACTTTACCGAATAGAACCAAAGAGTAAAAACAGGTCTGTTTATCATTAGAATTTAGACATTTCTGCCACGAGGCTTTTTGGGTCACATATTTCAAAGACAGATTCCACAGTTTGGAGAATCCAGGGCAGCCATCCAAGATTAACTCAGCAATTCGCAGAAGCCGCTGCCGCCGCTGCTGCTCAAACACACGTGAACGCCGCTTTGCTAAATTTGCACATGTCTGCACGGGCAGCCCCCTTTGTCAACGCCACTGCCCGGGGTGAGGACCTCACCGTGCCATGAAGGTCGCGGGGGTGAATTGGCCATACTTCACCGTGCTGGTCAGTGCAGCACGCTGGTGAAGGCGGAAGCATGCGTTTCGGGACTTTGGAGTAGAAGTACAGGAGAAGGAGAGTACAACGGTAGATTTCTTTGCCGCACTGCCCTCTGCAACCCACAACACAGCACCGACGATAGCTTGCCTGTGCGTGGCAGTCACCCATCCAAGCACTCCACAGGCTCACTCCTGCTTAGCTTCCGAGATCGGGCACATTCCGTGCGATTCGGTCACAGCCCTCCCAAAATTATCTCGCTAAAATTCACAATTCCCCTGTCCGCATCCTCCTCTCTTCTCGGTCTTGAAAGAGATCGGCCGTCATCCCACCTTACCGAGCGTTTTCTCTTTGCTCTGGTTGGCCGAGCGGACGACAGGAAGTGACACGCGCTGTTTGGTCCCTCTGATGAACCTTGGGTCATTCTCCGACATCACATCCGGCCCCCCCTTCATGGGCCGGTAGGGGCCGAAGTCCGTGTCGGCGGCCTGCATGGCGTCCTGCTCGCACGCGTTCACAAGGGACGCAAACACAAAGATAAAGTTCCCCCGTGAAGCCTGTAACAGGCCGTTGGGGTCAAGTGCTGTGAGCGAGCGCCTATGAAGGTTGGCATGAAGTTTGGCATGGCAACCTTCATAGGATGGGCGGCCAGCACCACGCCCGGCCACCTTTTTTGCTAGCCAGTGCTGATATTTACACAGCACACCAGGTACTCATTCAAGGCTGAGTCGATCTAGAGGAGGCACAGGACCGGTTCAAATGTTCGCCGCTGTTATTGGTCGTGAGCTGGAATCGAACTTGGGTCGCTGGGTTCGTTGCGCAGTGCGGTTTCGGAATCAGAATCTTTATTTATCGTGGAGAAACCCGCTGAGCTATGAAGCTCTTTAGCACAGATGTCTGGCAGTAACTGCTAACGCTTCCCCACTAAGGAGCAAGCGCGCACACACACACACACACGCACGCACACACACACACACGCACGCACGCACACACGCACACGCACGCATACACGCACGCACGCGTAACAACACCTTCAACGGAACCTTACTGACGGCAGAGGCAAGTGCTCTTAGCGAGCACCTATAGTGCGGTGCGATCAGCTGCCTTTTTGTCTCCTCGGCGCGGACGGCTGAACACATCACACTGTGCTTGGCGGCCGACCATGTCCCGCCAGGCACGAGTGCGAGTACACGGCTGTCATGATAATGCACAAGGCCGGTAACTGTAGCCAAGGTTTTCGCAATTGACGTCGCCAACACGTCCCTGAGCAGCGGGGTGAAGTATGGTCAAATTATTCCCGTGACCATAAACACACACACACACAGCACCTCAACGCCCCCATCCTGCAAAGACAAACTTGGCAGGACCCTCCTCCAAAGAATCATGTGACTCGTTGGGGCTCTCCTGGATAAATAAGTTTAATACTAATTACAATAATAGTGATACAATTAAAATGTGATTTGTTTGTGTACGGAGTGGTAGGTACGGTACTGCTGTAGACACCGGTGAACATATGACAGACGCAACATTGTTTTAGATTAAGTTTATACAAAAACCTATAAACTGTAAGTTGACATAGTAACATCCAACAACGTATCATGATAAAATAGTTGCAAGCAAACTTCAAATACACAGCAAGCAAACTTTAAATACACAGCAGGCGTCAGGGGTCGGGATCGAACCCACGACCTGCTGTATAACAGGCGAGGTAGTTAACATCTCGCCACCTTGGCACCACCGAGTCTGAATTACGATACAGCCCGAGATGTCAGTCGAGGCTGCGGTGCGCTGACGAAGACCAACAATGGCGGTGCAACGGCACGCAACGGCGGAGATTTTTAGATCTCCCGGCGTGGCAGCGCCGGTGGAAGCGACGCGGCGAGCTTCCCCAAACCTCCCCGCTTGCTCCGCCCCGGGTCGCGCCGCTCACCTGCAGGTCGGGCTGGCTGCGCAGTCCGCTGAGCCGCACGCGAGCCCCGCCCGCCGTCGTCGCCGCGTGGGGTCGCGCTGCCGCGGGGCCGGGGTCGTCGGCGAGCTGCACGCCGATCACCGTGTGCCGGCGGTCGTCGCGGGCCGCGCGCTCCGTGCGGAGAAACGGCACCGCCGCAACTCCTCCTCCGCGCTGCCGACCAGCGACGACGACGCCGACGCGGCCGCCGCGACAGCGCCCATTGCCCGCCGGGCCGGCGTCGGCGACGACCGCGCGCGGAGACCGCACGCGGGGCCCGCACTCTGTCGGCACGGAGGGGGAGGGCGGAGAAGAGAGGGGTCGCTCGCGGGGGTCACGCACGCGGTGCTGCCAGGCCGCCAACCCCCACCGCGGTGGCGAGACACTAACCACCTCGCCCGGCACACGGGAGGTCGCGCGTTCGATCCAGACCCTGGCACCTGTGTATCTGGAGTTCACACGTCTCTCTCTCCGTGTGGTCGCGTGGATTTTTCTCAGGGTCCACATTTGGAATTAACATGGTGCGTTTAAGAGTATTTGGATGCTATGAAATTTCCGGGAACACCGCTCTCTCTCTCTCTCTCTCTCACTCTAACTCTGTAGATTCCACGCTACGACTCCCTGCACAGATCTCCGGGTCGACGGCGCTCATTACACCACGCTCGCGCGTTTTTAATTTCGAGGACAGCAGAAAGCAATTATTGGATTCCGTTGCAACGCGACGGTGGCCACCCGCCGGCCTGCCCGCCCGCCCATCACCACCGCCGCTGCCGCAGACACAAAGGGGGAGGTGGGAAATTCTTGGCCGCAACCGATGGAACATCTGGCCACGGGTTTCGTGGCGTCTGGGTCATGTTTTATGGCACTTTTAATTAGCGAAGGATGGGGGGGGGGGGCATCACGTGACGCGAGTACGCCTGCAATTGCGCTCTAACAAATCACCGGTGACCGCAACGATGAACACGGACATCTTGGGCATCAGGCAGCTGACACCTTTGGGCCCTGTGCGGGGTTCAGAGACGGGCTGGATGATAATAATGTTGGGAGCCAAAACTTACGGGAGGGCAGCCTGACATATATATGTAATATATACTCTTCAGAGCCCAAGATGAACTTAATCCAGACAAACGAGACTCCATTTTGCATTAGAAGTGGCCGAGTTCTGCCTATGCATGTGTGTATGTTGAACTTCTTTGGCACCGTACATAGACAACCGTGCTAATAGTGATCAAGATGCAGAGCAAACGACTACAATTTCACATGACAGCATCAGGAGCGGTGGAGTGTATCATCGCTGTGATGTCTCCTTCGTATTTGTGAATAGGGGGAGTTCCATCGTTATACGTTGTATGGTCTGTTCTGGGTGACCACAGTCGCAATACTGGGGAGAGTTTTTAATTTTCCATTTGTGCATCAGGGTGTCCCGCATCTGCTGCTGCTGCCATGGTTTATGCAGTGGATGCAGTTTTAGGGTGGTCCACGAGTTTCGTGGAAGATCAAAACCCAGGGGATACTTCTGCATGGGGTCTTTCACAACCAGGCGTTTGTTTGCGAGTTCTTCTGAACTCCACTCAGCTGGCCACTGAGCATGGGTGAAGGTTCGTTCCCCGCTACGGCCAGCCAGGAATTTCCCTGACACGCCACCGGCTTCGTCCCACCGCCGGCGAGGCGGAGGGAACAGTTTAAGTTAAGTTTCACTTTGTGCATTCAGGTGAGAAACGCAAAGAGACCAGGGATGGAGTGACCCCGGGGGTCACCCAACCGACGAAATCAAAACAAAATAAAGGACAGCACGGGGAGGGGGGGGGGGGATGGCAAATAAATGCAACGCAGTCCTCGGGCGTCAGAGAAGGCCATCACACTTGAGTTGCAATGTTTAAAATGACTGGAATTTCATGGGCCATAGGCGAAGGGCTTCTCAGCATTTTGCGCCTTGCCCGTCGCACTCACTGATGTCCTCTTCTCCCCCCTCTCACAATGTGTGCAGATTCTACCGATTCTATTGTATGTAGGATGTGTAGGCATATATGCCCCCACATCTGGGTGGGGTCCACTTTCTACAACTTTTGATTCGGGACTTCTGAAAAGCTGTCATCATTTAGTTGATGGACAAACGGAAATAAATAATAAAGAACGATTGTTATTCAGGCAAACAAACACCATAACTCGGCTAGTTGTGACATACAACTTGGATAACAATGTCCAATGGATTCTGACCCAATTTATACTTTACATTTATCGAATATGATTATTATTATTACTCATATAAGTCAAAAGCCATTGTGTGCCTACGTTAAAATCAGCAGTGGGGAGTGCTCCTATTTACTCGTTGCGCAAACTCCACATTCATATGGCAGGACCAGTTTTACAGAGAACAATTCCAGAGCTGTCATTCAAAATGTGCAGGAGAGCACAGTGGGAATAGCAGTACCAGCAGTAACACTTGTGGTTATTATTGTGATAACAGCATAAGCAGTAGTATCATTGTCATGCTGTCCCATTCATCAGGAAGCACGCTTCCCCACATGCCCCATGATTGCGAGATGTTAACGCCCTTGCCTGCTATACAGGAGGTCGTGGGTTCGATCTCGACCAAGAAGCCTGCCGTATATTTGGAGTTTGCGTGTCTCTCTCTCTCTCACCATTATCACGGTGGCTAGGTGATGTTAACTCCCTTGCCTGTTATACAGGAGGTCGGGGGTTCGATCCCGACTCTGATGCCTGCCGTATATTTGGAGTTTGCGTGTCTCTCTCTCTCTCACCATTATCACGGTGGCTAGGTGATGTTAACTCCCTTGCTTGTTATACAGGAGGTCGGGGGTTCGATCCCGACTCTGATGCCTGCCGTATATTTGGAGTTTGCGTGTCTCTCTCTCTCTCACCATTATCACGGTGGCTAGGTGATGTTAACTCCCTTGCCTGCTATACAGGAGGTCGGGGGTTCGATCCCAACCCTGATGCCTGCCGTATATTGAGTTTGCGTGTCTCTCTCTCTCTCACCATTATCACGGTGGCTAGGTGATGTTAACTCCCTTGCCTGTTATACAGGAGGTCGGGGGTTCGATCCCGACTCTGATGCCTGCCGTATATTTGGAGTTTGCGTGTCTCTCCCTGTGGTCGCGTGGATTTTTTGTTCCCTCTACATTTAGAATCAACGTGCATTTTAGATTATAAATTTCTACACGAGGATAAGCCACTTCGTTGAGCCACCGTTTGTGACGATAGCTCTATATAGCTCAGTGGGCCTTAGCTGCTGAAATAAAATAAAAAGTTTGGTTTATATTTCATGGAAGTAAAACTCATTCATTTTTTTTTCCCTCAGAGTGAAAAATGTTGTCAAATTGAACTTGCTCTTTTCTTGGGGGCAGTCGTTAGCGAGCGACCAAGCTGAGACCATCACCTTTGCTGACCTCGAGCATAAGCAGTGACATTAGCCCCATGCCTGGTTTCAAACCCTCCACTCCCAACTCTGAGCCGGCCACAGTGTTAACCTTCGCACAAACGCCGTGTTCAAAGTTGCCGGTTGTAGCATCTAAAGTATGTACGGGTTATCCAGGTCGTGCCAATTACAACTGCTCACAGGGACATACCATCCTAACGAGCGACGGTGAAAAGACTGCACAGCACAGGCCCCTCATTTTTGGAGGGACATGAAATCAGCCCTCCCCACAATTTGCCGAATCGTAGCGATCCAGGATCACGATCCGATTCCATTCAATGCAGCTCGTAGGAATCGAAGAACATGGACCGCTGCACATGTGTATCGTGAGCTCAAGAATCAATGTTAACGATGAATCTGATGCATTATTACCACCCCCTAGCCCATATACTTATTGACCCAATCAGCCGGAATGCGAAAACTAAGCTGGCGGTGCCCGGGATAGTCATTTTCACGTATGAACACGTTGTGAAAAAGAGCTTCATAGCTCATCGGATTCCTTTAGTATAAAAATATATTCAGATTCTGAAAACAGGCGAGTGTTAGGCTGTGGGCCTACGTTGTGGGTAGCAGAGGGGTGTGCGGCAATAAGCCACCGTGTTGTACGGTTCTCTTGTGCTCGAAGTCCATTCTCCCCCCGCCTTCAAAAACTCACAAAGACCAGTGTGGTGAAGTATGGTCAATTAACCCCCAAAACGTGCATGGCGTGGGGAGGCCCTCATCCTAAGCCACATTCCCATGGCACGGCCCAGTCCATGCAAACCACAACTACAGTGGGCTTCACAATAAGGGGTGCTGTGGTGGTGAGATGTTAACTACCTCGCCTGTTATACAGGAGGTCGTGGGTTCGATCCTGACCTTGATAATGCCTGTATATTTGGAGTTTGCATGTTCTTCCCGATGTGGATTGTTCTCCGAGTCCTCCAGTTTTTCCCTCCACATTTAGAATGAACGTCACACGTTTTAGAGTATTTGGCTTTTGTCAATGTCCACGTCATAAGCCACTTCGTTGAGAGATCATTTCTGGCCAGGTCGCTTCTGAAAAATAGCTATATAGCTCAATGGGCCTTACCTGTTAAAATAAAAATAAAAATTAGTAAGTAGCCCTGAAGATGATGATGTAATTGCGATGGAATTGAATTGACCTCGGTTGGAATTTGAGCTCCACGATTGTCGAGAACAGCGAGAGTGTCAACAATTGTTGCACTAAATTCAAACTTGCCCCTGTCATATTAATGTGGAATTTCCACCAATGAGTCCAGGAGTTTTCAACGGTGACGAACGCTGCTTCATGCTCCACTGAGCCAATACACGCATCTCGCAGAGTACGCGATGTTGCACACTACACACATGGTAGTATTCTCCGGATTATAAGAAACACATTCCCCCCCCCCCCGCCAACCCCCTAATATTTCACAGAAAAAGTTGGGGGTGCATCTTATAATCTGGTAGCTGTGTGTGTGTGGCACCAGATGTGGAGTGGCGGTGCAACGCTGAGTGCGCTGGGCTACGTACCCGACCACCTGAGTTCGATTCCCGCTCACAGCCAACACTCGTGGCAATTATCTGAACCGGGTCCTGGTCAGCCCCCCCTAGGTCTACTCAGCCTCAACTGAGTACCTGGTGCGGTGCATAAACATCACCACCAGGGAGACAAATTGCGGCCGGTTTGTGGCGCTGGCCACCCACCCCCTCGCGTGACGTCACGAGTGCTCACCAACAGCACTTACCCCGCAAGTCTGTTAAGGCTATACCGGGGGGTCTTTGTCTTTGTGACGCCAGATCAGTATAACTTTATTGACACCGGGGACAAGTTTGGGGGTGCGTCTTACAATCGGGATAACG